CGGCCCCCATGCCGCACCCACGCCTACCTGTAGACCGGCTGCATCTCTCGGGCGATCCCAATGACGGCTCCTCGCGGGAAGCGGTCGAACTCCTCAAACAGCTCCTCGATGTTGGTCTGGAACTTCAGGTCCAAGTCCAGCTGGATGAGCTGCGCTATGTCTGGAAGAGACAGAGGGAGTCAGCAGCACCAGGCGGCAAACTCACGCACCGATGAATCGACGGGGCCGTCCGCGGATCTCCTCCCCCTCGGCAGGCAGGGCCCGGCTCCGCAGGGGCAGGCCAGCCAGGGGGGGAGACGAGCCTTCAGGTCAGCACAAAATCAAAATGTTGAAACCAAAATTAACCTCCCCCCCGGGGCCCCTTGTTATCCACCCGCTCGGCTCAGAGAGGAAACGTTCTTCAATTGCCCCGCACCAGCACGAGGCACCGGGGTGACTGAACTGCCCCCCGAGTGTAAATGCCAGACTGGTTAAAACCAACGTCCTGGGTTAGAGGGAAAGTGAAAGCAGCTATATAACACAGTACACGTGTTCACACAGTTGGGATCTAAAGGGTTACCTGGTTACCCGGTAAGCATCAGCTTTACCAGCGTGCTTACTTGGTTACCAGTTAACTGGGGGCTTGGCCAGAGAAGCCCCCTCCCGTGGTACGATGCAGTGAGTCTGGGCCCCGGCCAGCTGGGGGCAGCTTCAGGGTTAACTAGTTAAACAGACCATTTCACTGGGTAATTGTTTATACCAGGAATTTACATCCCTCACACATGTGCACGCCAGAACAAATGGAAGAAAGGGGAAGCTGATAGCACTGGACATAAATCAGAAGATAGGAGCTGTAGAAAACTGATACGGAAAGCAAAGGAACATAAGAAGTCATCTTTGGCCAGCAGAGTTAAGGACCATATCAAAGAGTTTTTAAAAAATATACTAGGAACAAAAATAATCCTAACAGAGGTATTGGCCCATTACTAGATGGAAATAGTAGAATTATCAGCAGTCACGCAGAAAAGGCAGGAGCATTCAATACATAATTACTGTTCTGCATTTAGAGGAAAACCAGATTTATGCAGTCTCATGGTTTGGCCAGCAGAGTTAAGGACCATATCAAAGAGTTTTTAAAAAATATACTAGGAACAAAAATAATCCTAACAGAGGTATTGGCCCATTACTAGATGGAAATAGTAGAATTATCAGCAGTCACGCAGAAAAGGCAGGAGCATTCAATACATAATTACTGTTCTGCATTTAGAGGAAAACCAGATTTATGCAGTCTCATGGTATG